CAAGGGAGTCCCACACCGTGCCACCAGAATTTCCAGTGCTGGGGTTGGCAGCTGAGGATGTGCATCTCATCTCTCACTTCTGCTAGGCAAGTCACTCGTGCTCCCTCAGCCCCAGCTGCTCTGCACAGCTAATCCCCACCCTGATCAGGATTTTCAGAGTGGCACCATATTATTAAAATGTGTGAAAAACTTCTCCCATGCAGAAGTAAATGTGTCATGTTGGAACCAAGGGTGAGTGGAGATGCATGGAGGAGGGACAGGCAGGGAGGGTCCCTCCCCAGCAGCAGCAGTGTTTCTGCCATTGTGTTGGGCTGAACTGCATAATATAGCTTACAGTTTAATTACAGGGGCTCTTGCTTGTTGGTGTCATTAATGAGGCAACTGGCTTAATTTAGCTGAATAAAAATGGCTTTAATAGTGGAAACACTTTTGGTTGCTGGGTAATTGAGAGAAAAGAAAACATGCCGTCTCCTCTTGCACTGAAGCCCACTTGTTCTGGGCTGGATGGATCCAGACTTCTCTTTTTGTCCTACACCCACCCATCCCTTTTTAAATGCAGGAGATTTTCAGCAGATGTATTTCCATGGCCCTGCCTGTTACTCCTGTGCTGGGACAAAATGGCAATGGTCACCTGCCCTCCTCTGCTGGTCACTGGCGAGGTCTCCACAGTGCCTGTGGGAGAGCATGCAGGACACAGTGTGTCCCCTCCTGAAATGTAGGAGGAGGATAGATGGAGGGAGAGAGCAAGAACTGGGACTTTGCTGTCACTCAGCGATGATATCCTGCCGTTGAGGTGTGCGTGGGGCTGCTGGTGGAGAAGGCTGGTGGGGATATGGTGTGATGAGCCACCTGCAAAGCACAGGAGGCTTAGGAGCGCTTAGGAGCTGGAGCAGGAGGAGAGTGGTGTGGTGTTGAGCCTGAGTCACGAGTGGGTTGGGTGTCTCTTGCCTTGGACCTAGTCCAGGTGAGCTCCATCCAACCCCTTCTCCCTACCCAGTGCCTTTGAAACCTGCTGCAGAGGCAAAAAGGACCCTGGCAGCTATTTCTGAAGACTATCGCCATGGAAAATAGCATCTTGTAAGTGATGGCAAAAATGTCCCATGGCAAAGAAGCAGTTTGAATGTGTTCCAGGAGCACTGATGGCAAGTCTGTCCTGAGAGAGACAGGCTCCTGTTCGCCGCTGAGAAATACGCAGGGAAGGCATTTTGCTTCTCTCCCCCTTGTTTCCTTGATATGTGATGTGCTGTATTTTATTACTGGTGGGGCTGAGGCATAGGCTGTTATAAAGGTTGTCTAGCACAATCCACTACAGGACTGCTTCCATTTTCCTATAACTCTGCCAAATTTTAATTACTTAGGCTGAAGTTTCCTGTTCTGGGTGTCTGCTCCTGGCTGAATTAATTTTTTTTTTTAATTGGTGTTATTATTTCTTTCTAGTTTCAAAGAAAAACTTGCTTCAATGTTTGAGGCAGTGGAAGAGAGTGGGGGAAATGAGCTGTTTTGCTCAAGCTAGAAAATACTGGTGATGCTGCTGTTACAGAGCACCTGCACCCTCCTTTTGTGCAGGGGAAGAAACTTTGTCAAAGGGCAGATTTTGCTTGGAAGACTTGATTTTGCTCTGGGACACCTCCTTGCGTAGGCAGAATGGCTCTTGATCTACTTGGAGGGGAAACGTTTTGCAGAGGATGTTTGGGAGTGAATGGGGGAGACGAGGAGCAGCAGCTGTTGTTGGGACACTGGGGTTGGGATGGGAGGATGTAAAAGTGAGGAAGATATAGGAAATTGGGCATGGATAAGGAAATTGGGGCTGAGAAGTATTTGGGAGTGGCTGGAGAGCAACTGGTAGTGTGATTCAGCCTGCTGGGGAGAAGTGACCAGGCCGAGGGGAAGGCAAACAGGTTGGGAAGGAGAGACCTGGCACTGCCCAGCCGTGGGCACAGGAGGATGGGGGTTCTGGTTCACCGCAAACAGTGGGAATGTGGAGGTGAGAACAGACTTTCAGCCTTGGAAACAGCAGTGGGAAGTCAGAACAGGTAGCTGGAGCTGGGAGAGGACTAGTCCTGGCTGGGAGGGCCTTGTTTTTTCCCCATTCCTCCCCATTTATGCTCTACTGGGAATCTCAGTGCATGCAGCTGAGGTTTGAGCACGGGGGAGAACCTCACAAGTGCTGAACAGGAGCTACAAAGCTCTGGAGCTCAGAGCTTCTCCTGCGGAGCCGTAATTTAATCTGCTTGTGTGCATGGACTGCGATACCGTCTCTAATTACACAATCACACGCTATCTTCCCAGGGAAACCTGCCCCGCCTGGCGCGCAGGATGGATCTATTCTGGGGACAAATCAGTGCTGTGCAGTGAGGTTTCTCCATAGGAGCTCTCTATCTTTTGTGGCAGAAGTCAGCAGATGTACCCTTTGCACGTGGCAACCCGATCCTGGCATCTCTGACCTTTGGAGTTTTTGTGACTGAAACGGTGGTTGTTTAATGTGTGTTTATGTGTGCAGCCTCTTTCTGCCTCTGTGCTGAGACCAGGGACCTTTGCAAGGGTCTGTTGCAAAGACCTTTCTGACATGGTAAAGTGTCCGAGCTGTCTGTTTCCAACCACAAACGTGTTCCTCCCTGTGTGTGTCCTGGACGGTCTGAAACGGAGCCATTGGTGCGTGTCCCCTCAACCAGCTCCGTGAAGTTGATGGTCAGGTCAGATCGGACACCGGCTTTGCCCTTTGAGAGCAGTCTCCTGCCAGGTGTGTGTAAGTGAAGATCCGTCTCCTCTTTGCCTAATACTTGCTGTGGTTTGTTCTCTGGGGGAGGGAGGTTGGTTTCCAGGGACTGCAGGAGACGAGAAGCGGAGCACATCTGCCTGGCAAAGCTCCTTGCATTAGTGAGGATGTTTTCTTTTTTCATCTCTCTGTGTCCTAAATTGTAATAACATGATCATGCTATTTTTGATTCCCTTATTTGCGTGGAAAGCCTGTTGTTTTTTCTCTTCTCTTTCAGAATCCAATTTTCTCTTGACATTTCTGCCTAATGTAGCAAAACATGACCTTTCAGAAAGGACATTCCAGCAAGATTCACTCCCTCCTCTGCATCTCTGCCTCTCTCCCACATCTTGCTCTCTCTCACGTATCCCCCTTTACGCTTCCGTCTCCCTGGGTTGGGGGAGGGAGTTTACTGTCTTGCTTTTCAGTAGCAGCGAGCTGCTCCTTCCCCTCCTACTTTTCATCTGTCTTTGCAAAGTTTCCAGGTGCTCAGTGCTCCGGGGTGGATAAGAGAGGGAGTTTTGCAATATTTATTTTTCCCACTGCTTAGCTTCAGCTGCTATTTTTGCCACCTTTCTAAACTTTATCGGAGGCTGGAAGCAGTTTGTCTACAGCCATAGGAATGGTGGGTTCTTAGTCATGTGAAATGAGGTACCTGTGGTTTCCGCAGCGGGATAGTCTGATGTGAAGCAGAGCCAGAATTTAATGATGCAGCATTGTGCCATCATGGTGTTTGGGCTTATTCTTCTGCCAGGCTCGTGGAGAGCCTTTGGGACGATGGTTTACTGTGTGAGCTACAGCGGCTTCCCTCCTCCTAGTTGCAGAGTTTTGGGCTTTGCAGCATCACTTGGTAGCAGGTGGGACAGGACCAGAGTTGCTTTTCCCTTGTTGGTCCCTGAGTGTTTCTGCATTTGCCCAACACGTGTCTGCCCTTGCTGCAACCCAACGTAGGGTGACAAATGAATCCCTCATCCCAAATCCTCGCTCATCAGAGGAGCCGTTCCAGGATTTGCTCTCTTGGTTTTAGCATGTTGCTGCGAATCAACCAGGGATTGTGGGCTGAGCTCGGCATGGCTGGGCTACCTGCTGTCACCTCTGTGCCACCTTGTCCTGTACCTCCTCTCTGGCCAGCTGAGAGTTTAATGAACCTCCAGATGGTTCATGCTTCTGGCCCTTTTTCCCTCTTTCCAGCGAGCAGGGCTGAGGCAGTAGGCCATTTGCAGCCTCGCACTGAGCTGCCCTGCCTGCCCGCAGCCTGCCCAGGTGGCTTGCAATGGGGACAGAGCTGGCAGGGGCAGGGCTGGATTCAGCAAAGGATGTGAGGCAGCGCCTCCTGTGTTTTCTGGAGGCCAGCACAGATACGGGAGGTTTTGGGTTTCTGCTAGAGCTTGTGACCATCCATCCCTCTGCTCACCCTGTGGGCTGGTCCCTCAGTTGGTGGCTCTCAGGCTGGCCAGGCATCCTCAGGAAGGCTGCTCACTACAGAAAGTGTTTCATTACCATCTTCTCATGCTGTTAGGAACCGGGGGCTTTTCTCTTTCTGCTCACTGCCCCAAACTCATTTCTTCCTCTTGTTTTTAGTACTTCAGTTCCTTTTACCCTCTTTCATCCTCTCTGGCTTTCAGCTGAAGAGGTGATGTCTGCTGGGTTGCAAAACTCTCCCAGGTAGATGAGATTTATGTTTTTGCAAGTTTGAGCAGATGGAGAGAGGGATGGGGAGCTGTTGGCTGCTGTAGTGGCAGTACCCCTGGGTGCAAACAACACGCAGCCGTACTGGGACACTTTGAGTGCACAGCTACTGCAGATCGTATGGTAACACCTTGGGTAATCATCGTGCTGTCATTTGAATCTGGCTGTTACTTTTTTTAACGTGGTTTGTACTTAATTTTTTGTTCAAGTTATGGAATTAGACTTGTTCTTTCTGCTCATGGTTGGTTGTGCTCCAGATTCATTGTCAAGAATCAGACATATCTTGCTCTGTTTGGGTTTTTTTGGGTGTGGTTTTTTTTTTTTTTTTTCCCAGGATATTCACCTTTTTCCCTCTTGGAAAAAAAAAAAAAATAAAATGAGAAACTTCCATTTGGGTTTGTCCTCATTAAAATCTCTCATTATGAAACCTAAACTTGGGTCATAAACTGCTTAACAGCCTCCTCGTCGAGGAGGCCGCTGAGCTCTGTGGAGGTGGTAGGGCCACGTGCAGGAGGAATTATTTACCGTGACTTTTTTCTCTCTTGTTAATTTTCAGAGACCTCTCTGGGAATCGGCTCACCACTTTGTCATGGCAACTCTTCCAGACCCTGCGACTCTTTGAACTGTGAGTCCCACCCTGGAGATATCTCCTGGGAGAAGAGGGGAGGCTGAGAGGAGGAACAATTTCCAAATAGAGCTATTTTGAAGCCTGTGAATAATTACCTAAAACTCCAGTGGGCAGCACCATCCTTGGGAGGGTTTCCTGGGTACGGGAGCACCAGAGCAGAACTGCTTCTCTTTTAACTTCACAGCAGCTGGCTAATTAACGTCAGGATGATGAACAAGTCATGCTTTGAGTATTAACGGTTGACTAACTTTGGGAACACGTTAGAAATACTTACTAGGCCAGATTTTGAGTGGATCTTCTCAAATACTGGATGCTCATCTGTTGCAGAGTAGAGCTAACTTTAGCTGATGGACACGCTTTATAAGACACCCCTGCTTTTTAGGCGAATGACTCCCTTGCTGTTTAGCAATCAAGGCACCTCCCAGCTCCTATGTGGGAGATGAGATAGTGTCTCTCCTGGGGCACTGGTGGCCTTCAGCCTGCTGAATTATTGATAGAGCATTCAGCGCTGTGCTTGAGGAATAAGTGGACATGAAATCAATGGAGCGTTGCCCTGATGACCTGTTTTGTTGAATTTTAGAAATAGTTGTTTGGTGGGTATAAAAATATATATATATGTAGGATTTGTCCCAGAGGATCCTGGGAAGCTCCATTCATCCTCACTGATGATCAATAGAGCTGTAAGCTAGAAGTGACTTATGAAAGAATAAAGACAGTCTTTCAAGTGGGAGTAAGTGTGTTATCACTGGAGTTACTGCAGTGTATTTTATTTCTGTCAAATTGTTAAATGAAAAATACTAATAGTGATATTAGAAAATAGAGAAACGCCCTTCTGATGGGGAATCTGGCTTGCAGAGTTAAAATGCTGAATTTGGAATTTGTCTCCTCACTGATTACAGCTCTAAATATTTTTCAAGCCTGGCTCAGGTTTCAAGTTTAATAGCATGAGTCATTTGTATTCTTAGACCTTTACTTATTGTCATTGCACTGTCTGGCAAAACTCAGATTGATGGTTGTTACCCAAGAGAGACCCAAGAGTGGAGGAGCAAATGGGGCTGCAGTCCTGAGCTAGAGGCACTGACAGGGCCAGGGGTAACAGTGAGCCTACAGATTAGTGGGAATACTTCCAGCAGAGCTTGTTTTTATGTGGCTTTGTTTCATTTGGTCATATTTTGTTCCTTCAGGCATGTCCCAAGTCAGGCTCAAAAGACCAATACTGAGCACAAAGGGAATTGAGATGCTGCTGTTTGGGCAGCAAGATGTACTTGTCCCCATCTGATGAAGAATACATCTGTGTTGTCCTGCTATGGTGATCCTGACAGGGAAGCTGGTGTTCTTGGGGTGGCTTTGGTTGGTATCAGCAGAGTCACTTGGGGCCAGCGCTCTGCAGCCTGGCAAAAGGGAAGGAGATGAATTACTTGGCTTCAGTTGGAGCTGTGCTCAGAGCAGTTTTCCCAGAGATTACAAGCCTCAATTGATGAAAGAAATAATGCAGATAGAAATGTGGGAGGTCGCAGGGCTAGCTGGTAGGAAGAGGTGATGGGATGGGAAAGCAGCACTGATGTGATGCATGGTGTCCACGGTGTCCCTTGGGAAGGCTTGGCACCATGCAGGGCTGAAGCCTCGGCCGGACCTCTCCTGCAAAGAGGTGATGGGATGGGAAAGGAGCACTGATGTGATGCATGGTGTCCATGGTGTCCCTTGGGAAGGCTTGGCACCATACAGGGCTGAAGCCTCGGCCGGACCTCTCCTGCCGCCATGCTGCAAAAGGGGTCTTGGCAAACCATCAGCTGGCACCAGCTCCAGTGATCAACTTAGACCTACACATGGGTGTGCCTGCGGGGTCTGGCTTGCTGTTGGCTGGGCTGGAGTAAGAACCTGATCAAGTTTATTTTTTCTCAAGAATTACTTTGTCACTGTTGCTTCCTGACAAATGTTCCCCTCTGGGCTCCTCATTACTAAGCACCCTCCATCCACATGAGTGCAGGTAGGACAGTCAGTGCCAGAGTAATGTGATGCTGCTGTTCCCCAAAGCGTGGCAGGAGAGGGATATTTTAGCTGATATCCTCTGGGACTTTGGTGTTAGTGGGGCAGGGGCATGTGTCTGTAATGTCCTTCCTGGGGCCATGAAACTGTTCTGCTGAACTTTGGATTTGTTTGAGAGAAGACAGCGTGGAGGTGTTGCCTGAGCTATGGGCTCTGAATAATCATTCACATAAAGATGTTGGGAATTATGGTGAAGACATACATTATCTACTGTGGGGTGGTCGTAGTCCTGAGTGCTAGAAGGATGGGACCTGTTAATGATGAAAAGCAAATCCCCAAGGTGGGGAGAAATTAGTAATGGATGTGCAAAAGTGGGAAATACTGTATTTTTTTTAGAAGTGCAGAGGATGGGTGAGTAGAAGACAGCTTTTTGGCACACTGAGCTCCAAAGAGGCTTCCAGAATCTGGGAAGGAGACAGAATACATGGCCCACATAAAGTGAGTGTGAAGCACTGGTGAAAGCTAGAAAGGGAGTTGCAGACTGACATCAGCCAAGGATTTGAGCCAAAACTCCCTGGAAAGGAAGAAGGTTGTGAGCAGCAGAGACCGATACAGAAACAGCAAGCCTGAGGAAGGCAGAGTGAGCGCTTGTGCATGGCCACGGAGAGGCCAGAAGTCCCCAGGGACACATAGATGGTGGCAAGGCTCTGCTTTTCTCAAGGGGGTTAGGTCTATGGGGAGGGTTGGTGGGACAAGTGGGTGCAGGTCTGCAGTCATTCACCAAAGACACCTTACCAGAGCCCAAGTGCTACCAGGCAATTGTGGATCCAGAGGGAGGATAGTCACCAAAGGCAAAACAGTGACTTGCAATGAGGCAGCTCAGAGCAGTGGAGCATGTGGGAAGGGAAGTGATGGGAGGGTTGTCTCCAGGAGAGTGTTGGGAGGAGAGGAACTACAACTGATGTGACATGGAGATTGCCAGGGAACATGAGACCTGACAAAGCAGCTCACGGTGAACACAGAGGAGGAAAGAGCAGAATACTAATGGGAAAAGCATGCCACGCTATGAGAGCAGGCAGGTGAATGGGAACTTGGGGCATGAAACAGCTGCCTGGCTGCATTCAAGGCACTGCAAGCTTGGGAAGATGGTATTGCTTTAAAGCAGAGTTTCTTTTCTTGTTCAACAGAGCTGAGATTTTCCCCTGCTGACTCACTGAAGAAAGGATGGCAAAAATGAGGCACACTTCCAAAGAATATTATCTCTTTCTCCTCCTGGCCAGAAGAAAGGCTTGGAATGGTTTCCAGTAACTCCAGCCCTAATTCCCACAGCACAGACTGACCTTGACCGGCAGGGCTCGGGCTAATGTGTGCACAGCTCTCCTAAGTCTGAAGCTGAGTGTGTGCAGGGAAGCATCTGACACATGCAACAGCTCATAAACATTGGACTTAGAGCCTTTCTTATCCAGAAGTCACAGCTGGTTTCCTCTGTCATGTCCTTGGCTTCCTTTGTCATGTCCTCAGAGAGCTTAGGGCTGACATTTCAAGAAATTCCTTCCCAGAAAGACCTAAGACTCTGGATCCAATTACATCTTTAGTTGTATAAAACCTTGTAGTCCTGAACATCTTGCTGCTCTGCCCGGCCCATCAGCATTTCTAATACCAGTAGTCCCTGCCAGCTTGCCCTGCAGTAGGTTTCTGCAGTGTTACAGCAAGAGGCTTTGGTGGGGATGGGGTACAGCAGCATCTCCATTAATGTTACGAGTCCAACTTAACATCGCCTGTGCCTCTAGCTTGGAAACTTATTGCCACCAACAGTCACACTAATAGAGTTGTAGCTAGACAGTGGGTACTTGCCTGCTCTCTGCATTAGCTAATCCAGCTGTCAGACGCCACGCGTTGCTCCCCGTCTGAGTTCTTCCCTTTCTACCCAATCCATTTCTGGCAGGGGTTTGGAAATAACAGTGCTGGCTGGACCACCAAGAGAAGCCCTGGTTCTGGGAAATAAATAGAAATGGAAAACAAAAATAGATTTTGTTCTCTCTCTGCTGGGTGCTCTTTGGTTCTCAAGCGTAGGGAAGCAGCCTCAGTCCTGAGGTAGGCGAGTATTTTAATTGCAAGTGTATGAAACCTTGGCAGCAGTTTTATGTGAATCAAAACAGACAGGAGAAGCGTGGCAAGGATCTCCACTGCCCTCTGAGATGCTTTAGCTGCAGACAGCTTTGTTTCAGCTGATGAGTGGGGAGGCATGGGACAGGGCATGTGTCTCGTTTAGCTGCCTAGCCTGAAAAAAACCTGCTCTGTGTGAAGTCCTGTCTGTCCCTGTACTCACTGGGATACTGATGGCCTCCCTTTCTGATACTGGTCCACCCTGGTATAGGTTGTCCAGGCAGTGTTGGGAGGCAGTGGGTACAGCTTTCTGCGGGGAGCAGACCTAGGCTCAGCCAGACACTTTGCAACATTGCTGTCTCTGAAGAGTTGACTTGTGCCTGCATAGCTCTAAGGTTTCAGCTCTGTTCTTGTCCCCTCAAATGACAGTGCAGGGCATGATTGTCCCAGTCTTCCTCCGTCCTGAACACAAGCCCTGCAGTGTGCCTGCCTCGTGAAGGGGCTGTGCCCAGAGCACACGCTGCTGCAAGCCTGTGCTTTGCCTGGGGCTGGTGGATGGCTCTGGGTCGTGTGCAGGTTCTGTCCCTCTTTGGGTCAACTCCTTAGTGCAGAGAGCAGCTCTGCAGAGAGAGCCCAGCTCGCTTACAGCTGTGGTACTTGCTATTTCTCACAAGTGTTTTCAGCTTTAACTTGGCCTTCAGAAGGTGTGGGGGTGTGCACAGCTCCTGAGCCCCTGTAACCAAGCGATGCTTTGGCAACGTTTCCAGGCTAAAGCTCGGTGTGAAAAATGCCCTTTGGGTTTACTTGCCCTCTCTGGGAGTCACCTGTGCCGGATAGGTCTCATGAGAAGGAGTCCCTTGCCTTAATTCTCACTGCGGTGCTGCTGCATCCATTAAGCACATGACAGCATTGAAGACCTCTTGGCTGCCCCGCTGTGCCTTTCAGCACCAGTGTTGGTCCTTCCCACTGCGATGGGAGATGTCTCCACAGCGCATGGCGATGTCTTCTGGCCTGACAGTTGGTTTTGGCCAAAAGGCGCCATGTGGTCCCTGAGGTGCTTCTCCGTCTTGCAGAGAAGGAAAGGTGCATTTAGCTCAGCAGGCAGAGGGTATTAGGCATTGGAGATGTGTTAGAGAAGTTGTGGGAGGAAGAGTTGGAAGGAGCTGAGGCTCCTAATGATCCCTGCAAGGGATGGGGTCTGAGGAAAGAGATGGAGGTCCAGGTTTTTGGGCAGGTGTGTGTGTGGAAATCCCTGTACACCTCTAGAAAGCCGTCTGACATGGCACGGCAGGCACCAAGCAAGGAGGGAGGGCAAGTCCCACATGTCAAGAGTGCTTTTGCAATGTGTGTTAGGGAAGACGGGTGCACACATCTGTGCCACTTCTACCCACGGTGCCATGCCAGCTGCCGGTGGCACTTGGCACATCCAGCCAGTGATGGGAGTTAATTTGTGCAAAAGCCCTTGTGGGGACCTCGATTAGAGAGTTACATCACTGATGTTGGGGCAGGTCGTGGGTAGGTTCTGCCCTGAAGCCCGCTGCTCCTGTATTATTCATGGACCTTCATGAATTAGCAATGGGCCGGGAAGGCTGCTGTCTATTACTTACAGAGCTGCCCTTAAGTGCTAGGACAGCAGCTTTCCCCAGCAGCCTCGTTGCGTGAGGATATTTGCAGTGGAGCAGAATTTCTCCCCTGTTGCCTCTGAGCTCCCCTGGCTCCCTGCGGGGTCCCAGGGTACAACTCCGGTTACGTGATCTGCCATTAGCTGCGTCCATGGCTTTCACCCGTGTGCCATCCCATGTCCTGCTGGTAGCAGTGACCTTGGGAGAATCCAGAGGAGAATATGGATTCGTGGCTATACTGAAGAGGATGGAAAGCCTGTGCAAGGCACTGGCAGTACCCGTTGTAGCATGCAGGGTATGCCTTGCCATTTGAATCCCACCAGATCACTGCACTAATCTGCTCTGGTCTGTTACATTTAGTACTTTGGCCTTCAAGTCGCTTGTCTGAGCCTTGTACCTGTCTTGCAAAGGTTTACGTGCTTTTGATGGGAAAGGAATGAACTAATGAAAAGCCGCAGAGTGAAGTTTAACTCTGTGTTTGTTCTAAAAACAGAAGGTCGGCATCTTGTTCTATGAGAAGATTCAAAGTGGCATCATTAGGGTTCAGGTGTGACACCCCTGGGTGCTACTAGGAGATCCCTTCTCCTCCTCCTCCTTTTTGCAGTACTGTATTGATGAAACAGCGGCTGCACATGTTTGAAAGGTTGTTTCCAAATCCTGTTAGTCGGTGGAATTAATTTTGTAAAAGCAAGCATGAATTTTGCAGTACACGTGGAACAGACCGGAAAACCAGCTTCTCCCTGTATGACAGGGGGATCTAGACATTGTGTGAAGCAGTGGTTTGACCTTTGGTGATGCCCTTCAGCTTTGGGGTGACAGAGCTCACCTTTTGCAGTGCTGGCTTCTCTGCTCCCTCCTTTCTTTTGCTTCATAGCTGTGTGAGGAGATATTTTGTTCGTTCAGGCTGCATCTCCTGTTTTGCTCAAGTTATCGTTGCAGCCCACGTCGGTAACTCAGTCTGTCCTGGCTGAGCACTGGGCTTTCCTCCCTGCTGGGACCTGCCCTCCTTGCATCTCCACAGAGAGCTGCAGGGCTTTAAAAATGTAAATGAAATGGTTAATAGGTTGGAAAATCAATTATAATAAACATTCCTAGTATATAAACTATGTGTAAGTGTGTTTTAAATGAAGTACATTAAAGGTAGTGCTTTTTTCCATTTCTCCTGTCCAGGTCAGCAGGGTCTCAGTGCAGTGCTGTTTGATTTAATTAAAATGCATGATACCCTGCACATTAGCTCATGTCCTGGGTCACCAGGAGGCTGTGTTCGTACAAGGTACTCAGAAGAGCTGCCAGCTTCACTGAGTGCTTGGGGGGGCCGGAGGTGTGCTTTGCCCAGCAGGGTCTTGGACCTCCACTGAAGCGGGATTTGAAGACATGAATTAATATTTTAGGGCAGTGGGGAGCTGCCTGCTCCTTTGCTGAGGGATGAATGTTTTGGGTGTCTGGATGGCTATGGGACTGAGCTGCAGATGTGCAGATCTTGTGATGAAAGCTGTTGTGTGTATCTGCTTGCTGCCCTGGGAGATGTAAACCTTGTGTGCGTGCGTGAAGGAGACTGTGTGGATGCATGGATGTGTAACCTCGGTCTCTCTCTGGAGGTGGAAGAGATGTGAATAATGAGTGCCAGAAGACCCCAGGCAAATAATATATTCTTCTTAGCTCTAAAGGGCCCCTTGCACCTCCGTGATAGCTGTCCTCCTTGGGGAGCCTCGAGCCAGGCAATGGCCTCGCTCATCCTTCCCCATCCCACCATCCTTTCTTGTGCTCTCTCTGCCCACAGGAGACTAGAGAGGAACATTTTTAACTGCAGCTGCGACATCCGCTGGATCCAGCTCTGGCAGGAGAAGGGCGAAGCAAACCTGCAGTACCAGGAGCTCTACTGCATGAACATGGATGCAGCTACCATCCCTTTGCAGGAGATGAATATCACCCAGTGCGGTAAGGACTGCCGGTCCGCGCATAAGGGAGGGTGCTGGGAGGGAGCCCTGTCCTATCTGGCACCTCTGCTTCAACCATTTGCTTGGGGAACCTGGTGTAGCGGAATCCCACCATGTGGTCAAGAACAAGACAATTGAAGCTGATTGGGGTAGTTTGCAAGTTAAAAATAGAGTATCTGGGTAAATGTGGGGCTGCCGTTCCCTCACGTGTGAAGGTATCAGGTGATTCGGGGCGTTTCCTTCACCGTAATGCTGTTGCTTGACAAAGTGTCTATGATGAGTCTATGTGATGTCTTGAAAAAGGATATGTTTCATGTTGCTCTTCCTCTGTCTAACAAATCCTAGAAACAGCATATTGTTAAAGGACACTGCCACCCTATCTTTCATAATTACTCTTAGGAAAATACACATCTCAATTTTCTTTTGTTTTATTTTTTTCAATTGAAAGCCCATATCTGTAGGGAAGAGATAGCAGTGACTTTATATGTCTTTCTGTTTCTTGCTGATGGTTTAAAAGAGGCAGAGTTGCCCCAGGAGCAACATGAGGCATGTTCAGTAGTTACCCCTTTTTCCTCCACCTTGTGCACACATCAGCTGCCTGTTAGGTGTCAGTTTTTGCTCTGCTATTGCCATTACTGGAAAGCATCCCTTGCAGAGTAAGGGGAAGGAGGTGTACCTTCAGCAGAACAATTAAACTGTCTATACACAAGCAGCTGTCAAAGTCACGGGCTGAAAAAAGGAGGAAAACCAGAGGTATTATTTTTTTGATGATTGTACTCTATTCTAGGAATTTGGGTTTGTTTCCTGTAACAGTAGTAGACAAACAGCATGCGCATTTGGATTTGCATGACTTGTATCATTATTTTTTTCAAGTTCACAATGTCCCTTTATTAAGCTCTGGAAATTGGCCAAAGTGTGCCTGCATGTGGATGAACTAAAAAGATTTGAGAGAGCGCTGCAATTTCCTCCCCACATGGGAAGAATAATCTTCAAGGATTAGAGGGGAAAAAAAATCCTTAGAGATCAGGGGCAGGAGGAGAGGTGACTCTGTCAATGGTGGTATTAGAGTATAGGGGACAGCAGGGTGCTGATTTGGAAACATGAATGTGCTGGTGTGCAGGGTGAGAACTTCCTCTCACCTCGCAGTCTCCTGGAAGGGCGGGGAGCCACACTGATCTGCTTTCCTCCAGAGAAGAGTCTTTCTGCTCAAGCATTAAGATGACTCAAGGGATGTTGTAACATCTTTGTCCTTTGGTGCTGAGGGCTGGTGTGGCTTGGTGTAGCCATGTTTGATACCTGATGGCAATGAAAGGATGTGTATCGCCATCCGTGGCTTTGGGTTGGCATGATGGATGTTGCTTGCCTTATGATGGGAGGGGACCACTAGTCAGTTCCCCTCTGCTCTGCTACCGATTTGCCTTTACGAACAGTGCAGAAAGACTCCCTTATGCAAAAAGGTTATTTGTCCTTCTTCTCGCAACCAGCGCTGTCTTGTTCCGTGTGGCAAGGATATTTGGCATCTGTGGCAGCAAGTAAGGAAGTGGCGTAAATCAGAGCCACCATAAATCAGTGACTCTTTCTGCCACCACCGAGGAAGATCAAGAGCACCTTTTATTAGAGGAGCTGCAGTTAATGTGAGGATGCATCCTTGGTCATCTTCTCTTGACTGTTATAAATTAGAGGGGCACTTTGCTCACCTGGAGTGCTGGGCGCTCTGTGCCTTGTCCCTGGAGGTGGGAACTCTTTGGAACCTCTCCCAGCACATGCAGCTTTCCCAACCCAGGTGACTCCCCTCGAGATCAGCTTCTGTGGCAGAAGAAGAGATGGGGATGGGGGTTGTGTGAAGCTAAGGGCAGCCAGAACTGGACGCCAGCCTTTGGACTTGAATGTGGTGGGAGGGTCTGTTCAGCTGGTATATCTCCAGTATCTATGTTTTCCCCTATCTCCAAGATCCCTCCTTCTCTCGGTAGGGTAAGGCCATGCTGTTGCCTCCTACTACTTATCCCAGGTTGCTGGAGGCTGATTTGGGAAACAGCTTGGCGGGATCTGGGTCCACATGTGTGTTCTGTGGCTGGCTGTAGCAAACACTGCTCCACACCTGAGCGCCTTGGTGTCTGGCTCTCCTAGACCTCCCTGAGATCAGTGTGAGCCATGTGAACCTGACGGTGCGGGAAGGGGAGAACGCTGTCATCACCTGCAACGGCTCAGGCTCGCCGCTGCCCGACGTCGACTGGACAGTGGCTGATCTCCACTCCATCAACACGCACCAGGTAGGGGCCGCAGGACCTCAGTGCTGCCTGTGCCCAATGTGGCAAGGGCAAGGCAGCTGCAATGTGTTCCCTGGGTCTGTGCGTGCAGGGCAGAGGGTCAGGTAGGTGGTGGAGACTGCTATGAGAAACATGAAATGGTTGTATCCAAAGGAAAATTGAGGCCGTGCCCTACCCACATGAGAACCTGGGAACTACCTGAAGGCAGCAAAACCTTCCCTCTGTATGGCTGGAAAGTGAAGTTGAGATAGCTTCATGTCTCAGTGCTCCCTAATTGAATTAACTCATGTCTCCTCTGATGAAACTACCTGTTTAGAGGTCTACATTAGCTGTAGCTGAAATAGGCAACTAAGCAAGATTTCCTAGAGGCAAGCCATGTTTTTCAGTGCTACAATGCTGTGGCTCTCCCCCTCCCAGTAGTTCCTCTTATAAGATGCGGTGTATTTAATCAGGTGAGGCAATACCTCCCTTCACCCAGACCCTAGCTGTCCTTGGATTTTGGAGACCATCTCATGTCTTATGTGGAAGCCGTGATCCTCATCTTCTGGAGGCAGTAGTGGGGAGGAGAGGAGCCACCAGACACTGATTTCTGTCTGATTTTTAGACCAACCTCAACTGGACCAACGTTCATGCCATCAATTTGACCTTGGTGAATGTTACCAGTGAGGACAACGGATTCCTGCTTACTTGCATTGCCGAGAACGTGGTGGGGATGAGCAATGCCAGTGTGCTGCTCACCGTCTACTGTAAGTAGCAGTGGAGAGACCTTGACCATATAGAGACTGGAGTGCTGCCCTGGGAACCGTTTGAATGCATGGCCACTTGCTACCTGTGACATGCTGGTTTTGTGGATGAGGATTAGGAGCTGAGCACAGTGAGGAGGAGGTGGATCCTCGCACAGCTTTCTCTTAAGTGTCAGTATTTTTGCTTTTCTGCTGCTTCCATTAATGCATAGACGAGCACTAGAGCAGAGGAGGAGCAGCAGTGTCACACTGGTGGTGGACATCTCTCCACCCATCTCTTGGAAAATCTGTAGAGGGACTGAAACTCCGTTTACAAATACAGAGTTGCTTACCCTGATGCTATGTGGGAGGCTAAATGTCACCCTTGCTAAATCCAGTGTAAATCTTGCCTCTGATTTCAGGGGTGCTAGTGCTTCCTCCCAGATCTGTTCCTACAAAGTTAAACTGCAAATGCCATGTAAACATGCACATGTCAAATTTCAACTGTTCACTTTTAGCTGCAAGTAGCTAAACTTTCTTTGTGCTTTCTAATATAACTTAACACAAACCTGACCTTAAGAGGAAGTTTACACAGCTTTGTGCTCTCAAGCAGCTGAGATTTACTATATGTTGCTGTGTCTGTAATATTTGCCCTTACTCTGTAGTCTGAAAATCTGTCCCCCACCCCCAACCTTGCCAGGTAGAGCAGAGACCCATGCGGGATTCTGGCTAGTCTTGGTGAACCCATGCATGCTGCGTGTCCAGTGCAGTGCAGGACCCATGAGGTCCTGTAGACAAGGCAGTCACAAGGGATAGGAAAAAGGAGAGCAGATGCTTTACTACTTTCATCTTCCTCCCAGTAAGTGCTACTTATGGCTTGAAGAATGGAGGTAATTAAAGTTCAAATCAGCTTAGAGGCAATTGGTCAGCAGGCGGGTGTTTTTTGCACCGCATTTTAGCATCTTTTCCTCCACACCTTAAACAGCACCATTTCAATGCCTATTTTCACCCGTGTAATCCTCTAAGCTGCTGACAGTTTCTGCTGCCCCTGCTCTTGTTGCCCAGACCCATCACTCAGGCTGTAATTTCACGCTGAAGAGATCTGGTTTTGTGCGTGTAGGTGGCTGCCTGTTTTGAATCCTCCTTGCCAGGAAGATGTGAACAAGCCACATGCAGATCTAGGCTTGTGAGTGAAAGGAGGTGGTTGGGACACGGCTGTGTGTTAGGGTAGCTGGATGCCGGTGGGAGAATTTTGCTCATCTCCAACCAGCTCTGCACCTTTTTCACTTCTACCACCTTCACTGCCTGAAAAATTCACTGTCTTTTTTCCAAAAGATAGGTCAAAGTTGGTGCATTGTGTTTGTTCCTTGTGGATGCCCCATGGATTGTATTTGCAGCTGTATGGTACCAGGAAAAATAGAGTTTTAGGGAAGGCCTATATCTTTTTGTGTCTTTTGTCTTTGGACAAAACTCTGTTCTAGTTGAAACCTTGCCAGCCTTGGGTTTGGGACCTTACATGTAGGCGTTGTAAACAGGGTTTCAGAAGCAATGGCAGAGCAACATTTGAATTTTTGGGGTGTCCCAGGGGGAAGACAATGCATATGCAATAAATTGCAGGTGGAATCTCTGCTTTTCTTTTCCCTCTCCTGCTGTACTCCCTTTAATTAAAACACCCCTAGAGGGTGTTCGGCGGGTGAGAACTCCTTTGGGATACTCAGGCAGTCAAAACCCCCAAGGACAGGCAGTTGCTGAGGGATGTTTGGTTCCACAGCTATGCAATCCAAAATTGCTCAATGCAACTGGAGATTTCCCATGGGCACCTTGCACACATGTAATGTAACAGTGCTACATCATGGTGTCCTCCTTAATAGGGACAGACAGCCTCCCTGTGATCCCTTGAGGGAAGGAGAGCAGCAGCAGTAGGTGTGTGGACTGGCCAACTCCAAGATTAATTGTTTCTGGACTGATGAAAGGGCCATTCCTGGCGTTAATTTGTACCCCTGTTCAGAAGCCCAAGAGAGCTGGTTATGGTTCAGATCCTCCTTTTTGGGGAGCGTGGAGTGGTTCTTGTGACTTAGCGCTGCCTCTTTGCAGAAATCCATGGAAAGAGTAGAAGGAACAAGGGATTTTGGAGGTTGCATTTTCAATAATCTTCATTTCCATGGTGCACAGAGACATGATGTGGGTGGAGGTGTGCTGTGAGGCTGCCATGTTTCTCTCTGCTAGATCCCCCGCGCATCCTAACTCTGGAGGAGCCAGTGCTACACCTGGAGCACTGCATTGCATTTGCAGTGCATGGGAACCCAGCTCCCACCCTTCACTGGCTGCACAATGGCCAGGTCCTCCGTGAGACAGAGATCATCCACATGGAGTTTTACCAACAAGGAGAAGTGTCTGAGGGCTGCCTGCTCTTCAACAAACCCACTCACTACAACAATGGCAACTACACGATTGTGGCCACCAACCAGCTGGGCTCAGCCAACCAAACCATCAAAGGACACTTCCTTGAAAAGCCGTTTCCAGGTAGGCTATTCATTTTCTCTCATTAGGGTTGCTCGCAATCCAATGCTCTTGCTGTGGTCCCACCAGTAATCCTTGCACCTAGACAAGACCTTGACAACCCAAGTTGGCCTTTGTCTGAGCAGCAGGTTGGAAGAGGTCTCTTCTGACCAGTATGATTCTCCTACTCAAGTGGACTTTGATGTCATAACAACTTTTTAATGCAGAGACACATAGTAACCGGTTTAGATATTTTTGTTGTGTAACATATTCTGCAAGTATTCGTCTTTTTTAAAATCCTTAGGGATTTCATTGAGAATAGCATATAAGTTTGGTCAGTTATTTTGGCTCTCCTCTGGTGTGCCCCAAAGAGGTTGCCCAATTTTTTTGAGAGAAAGTATTCTTCCATGTGACTGATAGTTATAAGCTAAAGAAAGGAAAGCCCTTTGAAGTGATGTAGCTCTTCCCTTTTTTTCTTCTAGCTTGAATTTGTGAAATGATTAAAGCTGGATGCGGCAGTGTCAAGACTGTTTTCTTTCTGAATATGACATGTGCAATTCCAGAATGACAGGTCTACAAAAGATGCGACGGCTCAATTAGTCACTTTGCATCAGTTTGCTGGGATTTCTTAACTGGTTATTTGGAATTCCTTGTTGTACTCCCTAGTGATTCAGGGCTTAACTAAAAAAAAAAAAAGCATTTGAGGACATGAAGATCCAGCACTTGGGAGTGCAGCAGAGACTTTTGTGGTGACCTGTCTGCTCTATGGGAGCATGGAGGGCCTTGGTCTGCCCTCTGACATTGCAACACCACGCCAGCCATTATGGAGTTAAGATCTGTGCACACTGCTGCCTTCAGGAATGATGCCATGAGAAAGTGGCAGCTCTAAATTGGCCCCTGCAGCCCAAGAAAATCCAGCAAAATAGGACGTTTGCTAAATATAGAAAAATACCAACGGTACTCTCATTTATTATTTATATCACACCATATATGTACACAGAGTTTTCCCGCAGGTCAAATATCGTAAATGCAAACTTAAATCCCTGCCTTGAAGATCTGACAATTGAACAAATGAGCTGATGTGGATGGGAGTGGAAAATTTGTATTCTGTCTTCAAGGATGATGCCCTGTTTGGCTATCTGACCTGTTTATGTTTCCTTCTGTCAGGGCAGAAGAGCAGCTTATCAAATGTAGGTGGGTGAGGAGAGGTGCACAGGTTTGCAGTCTCAGCTCTGTCAGGTCCCACCTTTGTGACTCAATTTCCCCATCTGTGAAACGGGGACAGCTCTTAAGTATGTGCTGGACTTCCAGAAAAAGGGGGCAGATCTGCTGTTCCGGAGAGCTGATTTTGGAAATGGATCTGAGCCATGCTTTGATGAGGGAAGGCACGTTGCTGTTTCAAGAGCCTCTTGTGTCAGAGTCTCTGGGAGAATGGGATTGTGTGAAATATGTGTGAAATATATGTATAATAACGCCTTTGTGAGCGCATCTTCAACCACGCCTTTTATGTGGTGTTGGTGTGGAGTACTTACTGACCCTGCACCATCTCTCAGCTGGAACCGACCGTTTTCTTTTATTTCTTCTGATCCAAAGTCCCAAGCTGTTCCTCACCCTGGCAGACCCTGTCAGCCCAATGCAGGATGTAATTTACTTTCCTTGAAGTTCGTTGCTCCGTCCACTGCCACAGCTGACATTAACACTCAATACAGCTGACGTTTATAATTTCCCATTTGAAGGTAGATTCCTCCAGAAAATGCCACAAATTGAAGGTTCCCCAGTGTGGTTCATTCAAGAAGCTTGTTGCCTGTAGCCATTCACACATGCAAGGGGTTTGCTGTCACTACCCAGGATGAGATTATTAGTTTTAATTAATGAAAGCATAGTGCCTGGAAGACATCCTATCAGCAGAAATGACCTGCGCCTGTTTTTTTAGAAACCCCTGGTCTGCAACCTCTCGTTGGTACTGTGACAGATTGTGCTTCCCGGGTTGAGAGGAGAAAGGTGCTGTTAGAAGCTGGGTGGGAGCTGGGAGATACGCCCCATGCCATATCCTGAGTCTCTGTGATGTTGTGGCTCTAGGAGCCAGGGCAGTGGCTCCCAGGACAGATTTGTGTCACATCCTGATAAAAATCTCACGCATGTTGTCATTGGCATCTCTACCGTAGGCTTATTTAATCCACAAAGGTTAATGTACCTACCTCCCCCGTGATGAGTGTTCAGTTTGGGGACTTCTCGTAGAGCTCAAGCTGGCTGAAATTTCTTGGCCATGTTTTATACTTTGAAAAATAGGGTTTACTGGGAAAATTTTTTTGTGGGTTTCTGTTGAATTTGCTGATTCCAGCAGAGAAAAATGGAAAGGGGAAAATGTAGAAGCAGCAAGAGTTTTATGACTAGACTCTGTCTGCTGTAATAGGAAAAAAAAAAAAAAGAAAAGTCTCCAAATGAAATATTTCTTCC